TTCGTGTTGTTCTCCCTATATACCTTTATCTCAGATGTTCCATTACTGCTAAACTGTCCCATTTTTGTGTTAAAACACATGGAATGGTCATTGAAAGCTTGACTGAATTACTGTCTTTTTGTTTTGTTGAACTGAATTTTTGCCTTCAAGGACCAACACCATTCTCATCCCTCTCTCTCCTTCATTGTACGCTTTTCTTCGCCTCTCTATAATAGAATAATAACGGTTTCACCTACAGGTCATTATCTCAACTGTCGATACTGTTGTAGTTTATCGTAAGACTCCATGCATCGGAGAATGTGACCCAGTCAATCCGAGCGGTATCTTTTCGTTCATGCGAGGTTATTCTCAAATTGGGCGACCAGTTGTCTAAGAATCGGTGCTATGCTTACTTACTTCAAGCTGTTTCATTCATTCAACGTTCCAATGAAGGTTGCGCTTGGTCTCACCATCTTTCAGTGTGTGTTGTTAATTGCTCTCTTCTTTATGAGTTCGTGGGTTCTGGCTTGCCCGGGTGCATCGGGCCAGATCAATGAGCGCATTCAAACACATCACTTCTCACTTATTTGTCCGTGAATTCCCATTGCCCATAAAAACTGTTGCATTCCGTATCTGTCTGTTTTTCCTCTATTGTCTGTCTGTCTATCTGTCTGTATGTGTATGTTCAGGGCTGAGGGACTAGCTAACCGCCTCGGCATTCAAGACTCCAGCGGATAATTCACACGGGCAGGCGAGCACGTGCTCGCGTCCGTTTTTGATCGACAATACTGCTATTCTGTGTCAAGCCGAATGCATCCCAGCACTGATCTCCCTCCCCCTCCCCTGAAGCCCGTAATTGTGATATCTGCGTGTGTTTATTGTGGACAGTTTGCAGTGAAATTAATGGTTATACGATATGTGGTCCACTTTATGCATACGGTTTGTTACTTCTCTCCAGGTGCCTATTCATTAGATCTACGCGACTAATGATCGATTTCATTTTGTCATCGCTTTCTGACATCGTGGCACACACACATCCGAAGAGACACAAGCCCCGCCTGTTCTCGTACTGAATGTAGTCGAGTTTAGATCCGATTCCGCCCATTTGACTATCCAGCGCATGGTTTTTACAGTTCAGATGTTTTTCAATGATCCCTTCAATTCTGTCCTGTGTAAATGACTATCAGTTTCGTCTTTATTCCTATTTTTCTAGAATTCACTTGTACGAAAGTGGAAAATAATTTCTCACTCTGCTAGTCGATCTTGAATAAAGGTGTGTGTACGAGAAATGACACACACACAGTGCCAGTGAAAAGGCTACCTTTTCTCCACACAGTCAGCATGCTGTTCGACACATTTTTGATCGATTCTTGTTACACGCAATCACTGGCATTGCTTTTAGTTTCCGATTCCCACTGGTTGCGCGCAAAACATTGTGAATAACTGATGAATTAGACGAAAAGAAAAAGAACAACCTTTCAATTTATCTGGTTGGCCAGTTGCACGGAACACATTCGGAAGGCACATTGCAAAAATCTGTCGAATACAATCCGTGCCGTGTGGTTTCCATTGATGACCTAATTTCTTCAACTCCCTTACTTAGCACTATATGAAATACTCTGTGTTACGTGCTCCACCAGATAGGTTCCACGATGAGTGATGTTGACAAAGTATTGAAAATCGGTTTTCGTAACTCGGGTGAACTGAATTCTATTTCGCCTGTTCACCGAGCTTGGAAATTTGTTTGCAAACGTTTCATCACCAGCCGAGGCGAACCCATTCGAACACAATGAGAACAAGAGACAAAATTGGTCGGTGGAGAAGAACACATAAATAAACAAACGGATACAAGCAGAAGACTGCCACTTTACAAGCGCTGATGATGTCACCTAGGCTGGTGATGAAACGTTTGCAAATAAATTGCCAAGTTCGGCGAACAGGCGAAATAGAACGGTGAGTGATGTTTGCGGAGGCAGGTGGCGGTTGGAAAATGGTCAAGAGCGTTCAAACTACGACCTGGGTCACATAGTTCCCGTTAGGTTCCCTGGTTGGGGACCCCGAGATGATGGTCACCAGTGGTTCGAGGTACTGGGCGATATGGTTGGATGTCGCAAACAGTGGTGCTCATGCATCTACTCATTATTCCCCTAACACCAGTCTATATAAATTCTCTATCTTCTGTTTGAATTGGCTTTTAACATTCTAATCTTCATCCTCTTTTATCTAAATGGGCGGGTAAAAGATAGCAACCAAAACGGGCGTACGAAAGTGCATGGTTAATCGTTGTAAAATCTGAACTGAATTGTTTGTGTGAACCATTGCACATTCGGAGATCGAGTTTCTGCTGCAGGTCCCTTTTACTTACTTCCGGAATCGCTTATCTGAATTTCTCAGTAGAGACTAAAGTTTCCAGGCGGACAGCGAATTATTCAACCGTTTGAACTGAACATTTGAACTGTTGCCCTCTGATTGTAATGCTGTAATGCAAGTGTTTGATTTTCTTTGATTACAGTGTCCTCTGTATGTTTTGCCCATTCCACCGGGAAGTCTTTTTCCTCGTGCCTCGAAACATGTGGTGGCCGGAGGAAGACCAGTAGTGGTCAGGTCATGAACTTTTACACTGGGGTGCTACATATGACGAGAGTTTTTTTCCGAACCGGTGTTGTTAGACTCTCCACTTGGTGATGAACTTAATCAACGTTTGGAGACTGTGGATTGTATGACCCAATGTTGAAAACTGGCGTGCACCTACTCTCTTTCTCTCTCTCTCTCTCTCTCTCTCTCTCTCTCTCTCTCCCGGCGCACACTTATCTTGCCTGTCGTGTTTTTAATTCTTCTATTTGTTCTCTCTTCACTGGTCGACCAAAAGAGCAGGCTGAAAGACAGCAATCAAAGCCGGCACACGAAATTTACAGGGTTAGCGATTGCGTAAACTGAAAATAAAAACCAATTGTCGCCTTATGGGTGACTCCCAAAAGCTTGTCACTTTCTCACATGGGCGTTTGAAATTTCAGTTTTTTTCACACTGTCTTAAGTTTGGAACCTTCTCACCCTGTATATAGCACTATCATTTATTTCCGTCGCTTTTCGAAGCTTCAGCCAATATTTTCTCAATGGTAATGATTGGATCCTAAACAGTTACTTTTTCCTTCCGAATACCATATCTTGTTCGGGAAATTAACCGTGGAATTGCCGCTTTCCACCTAGCTAACATAGTTCGCATTTCATCTCGTCCCGCTGCTCTGTGTGTGAAACACTTGATGCGAAAGTCTGTGTGTGTGTGTGTGTCAAAAGCAAATCATCCTCATCCGATCGTTGTATCCACATACTTCCGGTCAGACGGTTACGCTCAGAATGAACACCTATGTCAATCACGAGTATCGCTTGTATTCAATTGTCGATCGACCGTCATCGATAGTTAGGTAATACATGCTAAGAGCCCTCGTTTTATGCCTGATTGAGGTTTGCAAGCACACTCACACGGATAAGATGGTGTTCAATGTTTACTTCTCCCCTAGCCTGTACGTGAATAAATCTCCTCAAAAAATGTTTTTGTGTGGTTTGGTTCTAATATGCTTCAATGTGGCTAAATGAGGATATCGATAATTTGTATCAAGCTCACGGTATTTTCTGGATATTACTATCCCTCCCTCCTTCCCCCCTCTCCACCTCGCTTTCTTGTTAGCCGTCACCCAGACAGTCTCAGACGATTCGTATCTCTTTTTCTGTCTCTCTCATCCATTCATTTAAAAGGCTCAACGCTTTTTTGCATGTTATAAAAGCATGATCAGGTAAATAATTATCATTGAGTTTGAATGCGTATTTGTTAATTCCAGTTTAAATCATTTACTTATCCTAATTGCTACTCTATTTTCATAATCAACATATGATTTTCTGCTGAAATAGCGCTATTGTCCGTTTTTGTACAATAATTCTGTGCTCTCTGTTTTTTCTTACATCCATTTACGTTGGAAAAAAGACAATCTGTCAATCGAATGTTTCTACCGCTATCTCATGTCGGACAACAATGCCTGTGTATTCCTTGATCGACTGGACGTGTATCAGGAAATGGATCAACCCCTTAGTCATTATTACATCAATTCCTCGCACAATACCTATCTTATCGGGAGACAATTTGGTGGCAAATCTTCCGTGGAAATCTATCGACAGGTGTTATTAGCTGGTTGCAGGTATGTTCCCATCCATTGATCTCCATCCCGCCAAATCGGTCGCTAGACTTGTTTGGATGAAACGTTTGTTCCTCGTGTTCATCGGACGTTATCCCATTGTTGATGGGTCGAGTTAATTCATGCTTAGTGTACTTCTGTTTTATTAGATCAAAATGATCTCTGCTTGTTAGAGATACATGCACGAGCATTCCAAAATCGTGGACTAACAAACCTTTCGTGGATCGTATGGTGTTTTTTTTCTTCACTTGTCCGCCAGTTTACGCACGGATTTGGCTTGGTACTGTTCGGATTATTGTCAATGAATTTGAAGTAATCTCGCACTCGATTGATATTCTGTCTCAACTGTCCGTTGGGAGCTGAATCTGTACTGAAGTCTCCTGCTTAGACACTGGGATTTAGTGTTCGCATTGATCAGTTCTTTCAAAAAGCGTTCCACAGAATGTGTTATCATTTTTCTTCTAATTTTTATTGTTTGGGCTGTTCATGTTTTTCATTAGTTACTGATCTTTGATACAGAAAGTTAGTTTTCGAGGAAAACAGTCAAACATATTTTCTGGTATTTTTCATGGGACTACTCCCTTCTGGGTTGTTTTGCTGATAGTTCAACTTAAATATCGAGAGCAAGGAATACTCTTTCTTCGTCTCTGAGGAATAAATACGACCCGGTTTGGGGATTTTTCCACCTTTTTCTCTTGGGTGGACTGGGACTCTTTTGTTTATTGTCAATTTGAAATTCGTGCATATCTCATTAAGGTTCGTTTCCGTTGTTTTTCTTTTATCGATAACTCACCCCACCACTGCTACTCAATTTTTAATATATACTTCAATTATTTTCACAACCTAATACTCAATTGACCTAACATGCTGCGTTACTGTACGTTACGTTACTGTTAATCTTAATTGTCTACCTCGCTCTCTGCGTTTCTCGCAGATGTATCGAACTAGATTGCTGGGATGGACGTGGGGAAGATCAGGAGCCGATTATCACACATGGAAAAGCGATGTGTACCGACATACTGTTTAAAGTGAGTAGTGTTACTCCTTTATCACCATCCATTTAACTTGCTTTGATTTCCGGTAACCTTACGATGGTTGTAAAAACTGAAACTACGATACCAAAATAAGAGGAATAGGTGATGAAAGATGTAAACAATCCATACTCCATTGACAAGCCAGATGGATCTAATCATCACTAATCCCATTACCTTATTTGACGTATTGAATTGTTGCTTTTAGTTCTACACCTTTTCCCGTCAAGCTTTAACCAAAACCCGCAATCCTTTAGCCTCAACTCGTAATCCTTTAACCAAAACCGGAAATTATTTAGCCAAAACCCGTAGTACTTTAACCTCAACGGACAAACTGTAGTCACGCCGCAGTAGGCGAGTCAGATCAAAGTATCGGAATATTCTAAAGTCAACGGATGATAAAAAATTATTTCCTACAAATCGATCGTTCATATTCAGTGAAATGAACCAAGAAAAATGTTGTGTTCACGCACATCCTTCAAAAGGTGTGTTTGCAGAATGGATTGGCACGATCCTAATGCAGCTGAAATAGCAATGCACTATCTTGGTTGGCTGTGTAAGGAAGTGGTCGACTAAACCCAAAAACAGACTAATTTTTTGAAAAAATTCTCCTATTTTGGGATTCCATTTGAAAGCGGGTGCACGATAGTCTTCAACTATATGTCCATTTACGGTAACAATCAGGGTCAATGATGGGGTTCCGGTCGTTAAATGTAGCCGATCAGGTGTTATTTTGTAGTTCGCTATTCGATTTGATATCCATTGGTATTACTGCACTTAGTATGGCACTGTTTAACTAGGCGAATTGTCTAATTGATCCATAGGGGCTAATCGATCCTTACTCTTAGTTCAAGGCGAAGTATCACAGCAGAACACCAGTCTTACGACAGTCCTAGACTCTCCCGTGCAGTAGCTTCCGTTTCGAATTTGATTTTAACAGTCTTACTGCTTTCCTTTTGCCGGCATAATGATAGTCTTTCCGTCCGCCCATATTGCCTTGCTCTAGGGTTGGAATACACAATTCACCCTTGCAACAGCAGTTCCATTTTTATCGAGAAAACAGGACGTGCGAAGACTTACATTGTGCGGTATAGCCCGTTGTCTGTAATCATGTGGTTTTTGGTCATCTAGTCAGATCAGACCCCATGCCTTCCGATACACTACGACGGTTGACCCTTATTTGTAGGTCATACGGGACTTGTTTGGATAATGATGAAATACAGCCGATCGCATAGCATACTAACGATTTAGATAACGTGCTGGGTACGAAGTGATTATATTCTTACTTTAGGTTTGTTAGTTGTTCTGTCAATCGTGGTTTGCTCGATTTCACATGTAGAATTAATATATTTTGAAACTCGTTTACGATACCGTTCGCAGTTGATCTCTATATGGTGCTATTTCTTCTCGGATGATAGCAGATGGTTGTGTGCTGTCTTTTTGTGAAAGATATACATCTTTTTTTGTTGTAAGCGTGCTGTATCATCTTCTATCTAATTACAAACAAAATGCACGGTACAGTCATTTTAGGCATCCACTGTAAGTAAGGATCTCTGAAGTCCTTGAATAATGCTCGCACCGGTGGTTGACTTACTAAATGTTCTGACTTCCAAACAAAATTGATTGACCGGTGACACGAATGTATCGCTTCTTTATCGCTCTCGCCTCAACGGCAGCTCGATTGATGTCTAATTAGTGCAATATTAGCCAATGGCAATTCTGTTGAAAGAAACCTTGCTTCCTTCCTTTTTCCTCCAATGTTTTATTTGTTCGCACCGAAACTCTTTGGATGATTTCTATTCTTCTTAGGTTGTTAACAAAATGCACCAATATCTGTGGATGCTGACATGAGTGCCATTTCGCACAATTACGCTTATTTAGTCCGATTTCGAAAGCTACGAAAGACCATTTCTGGCTGATTTCAGTAGAATTATTCGCCTGGTCTTACACAAGGATAATAAAATTTTCACGCTTTTAATTGCACATAGTATCATCATCTGAATTCCGTAAACTTTTGCCCCGTTTTTTTCACGATTTTGTTTCCCCCAGGGCCATTAGCTTTCCGCTCGAGATCAATGCGTGCGTGTATCTTCTGACTCTTTTTTCCATCACTTTGTCGTCCTGTTTGTGTGCCTGTGAGTATTAACCATGACAGCCGAGGTCATCCCTTCGTTTAATCGACTCCAAGGGGTCATCATCATCATCACCGACCGTATCGTGGTTACACTGTTCGCAGAGCGTTCATTCATTTGTTCTTTATCCCGTTCCTTTTTTCGGATAGGACTGAACTTTGCGTTTATTGTTCCAGTTTCGTCTGTCAATCTATCCGCCTATCTTTTCACGATTCCAATTCTGCAGATATGTATGCACAGGTGAATTTCTCACTCAAAACTTTAAGAATGAAATACTAGGGGCAATTCAACGTACTGTTATTGTGATTTTATTATTTATATAACTTACGGCTAAGGTGTGTGTGGGGGGATTGCATGGAGTAATAACGAATTGGCATAATTATGGTCACGGGACAATATCTTCAACCGGTGCGGATATTATAACGTTTCATTTCCGGTTTCAATCTCGTCTACTTGGTTCAACTATTTTCCTGCGCTCTATAATCATGGACTGAAATTGATAAATTATCGCATGCGTCCACTTGCGTTGAATAACCAAAATGGATGGTCATTATTCGGGCTAGGTGCCTTGACCAATACAACGCTGTCATGAATAGTCGACAAGTGGGAACACACAACAAACTATGGTTTACAACTCAGAATCGTGGATATCATTTGAGAAAAAATCCCTTTATTATCGCTAAACCTTTATATAAGTCAGGTGTCAACTAATGAAGAAGTTTCCTCGTTGAAATTTATCAGTTTAGTAGGGCCTACGCTAAACAAAGGTGTCAGCGGTATATGTTCCTATGTTGAGGTCCCACTGACGTTTCTGATCTCTCCACTACTGCTTTACATTGAAATATTCAAGTTTAGATAATAATTTAGGTGACCAATTAATCTCGGTTTGTCAACGAATTATACCCCTTAGTCTACTCTAACCGGTAACTACGATTGAAAACACCTGAAACCGTAACAGACAGTCGCCGATCTGTTTTGATGAATACTTTTACCCAACTTTCCTTGAATTGTTCCTCCAGACTGTAACGAGCAGTTCGCCGTTTTTTGTCTTTATAAGTCATTTTTGCGATTCCATTTTCCCAGTGTAGATAGTGCGCTCTCTTACATTGGTTATATTTCTCTACTGTGTATTGGTAATTGTGGACTCTTCCTTTTTTAATCTTTTCAGGATGTCATCTATGCGATACGGGATACTGCGTTTGTTACCAGTGAATATCCGGTGATTATGTCATTCGAGAATCATTGCAGGTGAGTTTATTTGTCCGCTTAAAATCCAATTTGTTTCACCAACAGTTATACAAAAACGGGAGTACCTTTTCAACAGTCACCAACACACTGGTTACCACGCTCATTTCTGCTACACGCTGCTTTATCTGTCTGTATGATACACTTTTCTCTGTTGAAATGTGAATGGACTGTTCACCACGGTCATGAGCACCGATTGTTTGGTTATGAAGACATTCTTTGGAACTTAGACTGGCGAAACGCGTTAGGTCTCAGCAGAGCACGATCGACGTGCAATTTAGTCAAGCAACAGCGAAGTCCTCCTCACTGTTCAAGACCACGCATGCCCATAAACGTATAAGAATATATATATATATGCCATTCATACTGATAGGGGTAGTTACTGTGTCCTTGACATGCAGGAGGCTGTTTTTGTCTGTTACTAGTTTGACCCCTGCTTCACTAAGTGGTATATCTAATGGGATTTGCCCTCTGTGTATTACCGAGCGAGCCACCCCCGTGTCGATCAGTGCTTGCAACCCTCTCCCCCATAACATGATAGATAGCACAGGGTTACTTTTTAGGCCACGACAGTTAAATGGACAGAGAGGAACGCTGAACCCACTGATTTGGTTGTGCCTGCATTTGACGGCACGCGTTCTAAAACGCAGGCAATGTTCGCATTTGCCTTTTGACTGCCAACGCTTCTGGGGATATCTTCCGGGGGAAGTCAGTCGTCGATGTGGTTGTTGCCCTCGAAAACCCTGAGTGTCTGGAAACCTGTCCCTGGGATTCGGCGAATGGATAGGGGCGAAGTTCTCTGACAGGCCAAGCCGATGCTCACGTAGCACATTTTCGAGCTATTCGATCTCTCGTCCCGTCTCCAGCACGGCCTGTAGTGTTGGTGGGTGTCTACGAAACCTCTTGACGACCTCCGGGTGTCTGACGCTAACGCATACTTGATCCAAGATTTTGGAATCTAGGCTTTCATCGTCTAATTCGTCTTCAGCCCAGCGTCGCAGGTGTCGAATGAATGAATGAATTCTTTCACCGGGCTGTTGGGCCGTCGTCTGGAACTTGTATCGGGCCGTCAACCTGTCGGTATCATCCGTAACATACTGACGCAGACGAGAGAACGCGTTCGCGGAGTACGGAGTACGGATCATATGCGTTTCGGACGGGGTCAGACGTCGAATGTGCCCAATCGAGCGAGTGACCACTGCCACAACGGGAAAGGTGTGGGTGCGGTTCGTAAGCCTCCTTTTGTTTGTTTTAAAATCAGGTTTTTCGGCCAACTCCCCTAGGTGAAAGCCCAGTGTTTTACCAACCCGGCCATTTGAGACGCTTAGTCGTATGGAAGCATTTCGCGAGGTGCAAGGGAAG